GCATCAGGCCTGGGCGGGGGGCAGAGCCAGTGATGGGGGGAAATGAGGGTCCCCTGCCCAGGCCTGATGCCTCTGGCAGAGGCATCAGGCCTGGGCAAGGGGCCGATCCTGCAATTGGAGGGTGATGGGGGTCAACGCCTTTGGCCCAGGCGTCAGGCCTGGGCGAGGGGTGGAGCCGTCAATCGGAGGGGTGTGCAGGTCCCCTTGTCAGGCCTGATACCTGGGCCAGAGGCGTCAGGCCTGGGCGGGGGGCGGAGCCAGCTATGGGAGGGAGATGGGGGTCCCCTGCCCAGGCCTTACACCTCTGACGGAGGCATCAGGCCTGGGCAAGGGGCCAATTTGGCAATCGGAGGGTGATGGGGGTCAATGCCTCTGGCCAAGGGGTCAGGCCTGGGCAAGGGTGGAGCCCATGATCGGGGGAGATGGGGTTCCCCTGCCCAGGCCTGAAGCCTGGGCCAGAGGCGTCAAGCCTGGGGCAGGGGTGGGTGGGGTACCAAGTCGCAGATTGATGTGAACTACAGAGGAAGCACCTTTTCTGACCGCTCATTGGTTAAGCTCCCTGTATGCCACTGGTAATATTCTTTGTAACTTGGGTAAGAATCCAAAACGGTGATCTAGGGTTTTTCACCACACTCCTGGTGAAAAAAACGAAGGTCCGCTGCTGGAGGGCTAAGAAATGTCATATCCTGCCCTAGCCACTTTGGCTCAGTGGATAATGCCTTGGCCTGCCGATGGCAGGGTCTGGGTTCAATTCTGACCAAGGGCATGTACCTAGGTTGCAGGGTCCTCCCTGGCCGGGGCCCAGGTCAGGGCTCATACAGGTGGCAACCAATCAAAGTGTTCCTCTCATTTTGATGTTTCTCTCTGTCTTTCCCTTTCTCTTTCACATTCTCTAAAAATCAATGGAAACATATCCTCAGGTGAGGGTAAAAAAATAATAAAGAAATTATTATTATATGAAAGACACATCTTGAAAATGCCTAAAAAAAAGTTGTCATTTTTTCATGGTGATGGGACTGGAGTCCGTGTTGATGAAAAAACCTTGCTGGCTGTGGTGACTGGCAGTGGCTGCAGCAGCGGGGTGATGGGGCTGGTGCCTTCCCCTGATCAGCCCACTCACCTCCCACAAAGGGAGGCCAGACTGCGGGTTAGACCCGCTCCCCAAGGGGAGCTGGTAGCGGGCCTAAGCAGTCAATAGGACATCCCCTGAGGGCTCCCAGTATGTGAGAGGGGGCAGGCTGGGCTGAGGGACACCCCCCCCCCGCCGTGCACGAATTTCGTGCACCGGGCCCCTAGTCCTATCTAATAAAAGAGAAACATGGTAATTGGCGTACGACCGCTACCCTTCCCATTGGCTAATCAGGGCGATATACAAATTAACTGCCAGCCAAGATGGCGGCCAGCAGCCAGGCAGCTTAAACTGAACATGAGGCTTGCTTGCTTCAGTGACGGAGGACTCCAACGTTCCCCGCCTGCCTTGTCGGCCTCTGAGCCTGCAGTTTGAACATTGTAACAAATATAGAAGCTAAACAAAACCCCAGAAACCTGCTTTCAGCGAGCTGGGATCTCAGAGCTGGAGTTGATGCAGAGTTTCAATTATAGAACCTAAACAAACCAGATACCTACTTTCAGCAGCTGAGGCCTCAGAGCTGGAGCCAAGCCTCAGAGCTAAAGCTGGCCCAGAATAAAAAAAAAAAAAAGAAAAAAGGAGCGGTTGGGAGCTTCAGTCCCAGCCTGAAAACAGCCCTCAGCCCCTCACCCAGACTGGCCAGGCACCCCAGTGGGGACCCCCACCCTGAAGGGTGTGTGACCGGCTGCAAACAGCCATCATCCCCTCACCCAGGCTGGCCAGGCACCCCAGTGGGGACCCCCACCCTGATCCAGGACACCCTTCAGGGCAAACCAGCTGGCCCCAACCCGTGCACCAGGCCTCTAGCCTACATAGTAAAAGGGTAATATGCCTCCTAGCACCGGGATCAGCGTGACAGGGGGCAGCTCCCAAACCCCCTGATCGCCCTGCAGCTCTGTGTGTGACAGGGGGCAGGGCCACAGCCTCCCTATCAGCCCTGCCCTGAGTGTGACAGTGGCGGCGCCCCAACCCCCTGATCGGCCCTGCTCTGTTGGTGATAGAGGGCGGCGCCCCAACCCCTCCACCCCACGGGCCCTGCTCTGTGTGTGATGGGGTAGAGCCATAACCTCCCCATTGGCCCTGCCCTGAGTGTGACAGTGGCGGCACCCCAACCCCCTGATCGGCGCTGCTCTGTGGGTGATAGAGGGCGGCGCCCCAACCCCCTGATCTGCCCTGCTCTGTGCATGACGGGGGGAGCTCCCCAACCCCCTGATGGGCCCTGCTCTGTGCGTGACGGGGGGAGCTCCCCAACCCCCTGATGGGCCCTGCTCTGTGCGTGACAGGGGGCAGTGCCCCAAAACCCCGATTGACCCTGCTCTGTGCATGACAGGGGGCAGTGCCCCAACCCCCTGATTGGCCCTGCTCTGTGCGTGACAGGGGGTGGCGCCGCAACCTCCCCATCGACCCTGCCTTGAGTGTGACAGGAGGCGGTGCCCCAACCCACCAATCGGCCCTACCCTGAGTGTGACTGAGGGTGGCATCGCAATCTTCCAATCCGCCCTGCTCTGTGCATGACAGGGGGCGACGCCCCAACTCCCCAATCGGCCTTGCTCTGAGCCCGACCAGGGGCTGCACCTAGGGATTGGGCCTGCCCTCTGCCACCCGGGAGCAGGCCTAAGCCAGCAGGTCGTTATCTCCCGAGGGGTTCCAGACTGCGAGGGGGCACAGGCTGGGCTGAGGGACCCCCCCTCCCCCCCGAGTGCACAAATTTTTGTGCACCAGGCCTCTAGTATATTATCTATAATAATAAAAGCCTAAGCGACCATTACAACTGAACAGACAACTGAACAGTCTGTGTGGGACGACTAGGCCGGCAGGGGGGTTAGTGAGGGATGACCAAACAACTGAACAGCAGGCTGTGTGGGGCAACCAGGTCCGCAGGGGGGGGGCAGTTAGGGCGACCAGGCCGGTGGGGTGGAGGGGGGGACAGTGAGGAGTGACCAGGCCAGCAGAGGGGGGCAGTGAGGGGCGACCAGGCCAGCAGAGGGGGGCTGTGAGGGGTGACCAGGCTGGCAGGGGGAGGAGGGGCAGTTGGGGGCAACCAGGCCAGCAGGGGGGGCAGTAAGGGGCAACCAGGCCGGTGGGGGGGCAGTTAGGGGTGAACAGGCCATTGGGGGGGGAAGTTGGGGGCAACCAGTCCAGCGGGGGGGGGCAGTAAGGGGCAACCAGGCCAGTGGGGGTGGGGGGAAATTAGGGGCAACCAGGCCGGCAAGGGGGTGGCAGTTGGGGGCAACTAGGCCGGCGGCAGGGGGACGGGGGGGCAGTTGGGGGTGACCAGGCCAGTGGGAGGGGGCCGTTAGGGACGATCAGGCAGGCAGGCAGGTGAGCAGTTAGGAGCCAGCGGTCCCAGATGGTGAGAGGGTTGTCCAACTGCCGGTTTAGGCCCTAAGGATCGGGCCTAAACCGGCAGTTGGACATCCCCTGAGGGGTCCCAGATTGGAGAGGGTGCAGGCTTGGCTGAGGGGAACCCCTCCCCTGTGCAGGAATATCATGCACCGGGCCTCTGGACCTCTATAACAAGAGAGAATCATTCATCAGCTGCCTCCTGCACGCCCTCTACTGGGGACTGAGCGCAAGCTGGGCATGTACCATGACTAGGAATCGAACTGGTGACTTGTTGGTTCCTGAGTCAATGCTAAACCACCAAGCCTCACGGACCAGAGAAATCACATAAAGAAGGCAAGGCCCAGAAAGAAGAAACAAATTACTAAAAGATGTCGTGCAGTTAGTGTTAAGAGTCAGTAATCAAACCCAATGCAGAGCTTTTGATTCCAAAGTCAGAGCACTTTTCATTTCACCAAACACTGCCTCTCCTTTAAATTGAAGATCTTCAATATACATGGTGTGTGTGTGTGTGTGTGTGTGTGTGTGTGTGAAATATACAAAGAAATAAAACTGAAAGTTTACTAAGAGAGATTTACAAAGTTAGCTGAAAAGCTTTGATGTGAGCAGACAGACAATAAGTGTTTGTAGTGTTGACACAAAGTAAGAAGAAAAACAATTGAGTAAAAAAATTATTTTGTCAAGATATTCATACTTCCTGTTAAAAGCTTAAATAATTGAATTTTCTTAGAAAGTACCCACTCATTAAAGGTAGTTAATACAATGACTCTTTCTCACTGAATTTGGAAGTAATCTTAATAAAAACTAAACAAGCATAAATTGACTAAATGGAGAACTATGTATCATATTCTCACTATAACAAAGTAACCAAATTGAAAATTATCGTTAATGTCCCCTAACAATTCATAATTACATAGAGATAGACTTGAATTATTTGACAATCCTGTACATGTATTCAAAAGAAAAGGAGATGGAGGTGAAGCATGTGTACAATCAATTACAGTGGGGCCTTGACTTACGAGTTTAATTTGTTCCGTGATGGAGCTCGTAACTCAAATTACTCGTATGTCAAATCTTAAAGTGAGCGAGTGAGACACGTTATGCTGGGCTGATTGATGTTGTGGCGTTCACTGTGACGTTCGCTGCGCCAACTAGCGGTGGGGTATCTGAAGCTGGCTCGTAACCCGAATTTTAGCTCGCAACTCAAAGCAAAAAATCGGCCGAGAGACAGCTCGTATCTCGAAAAACTCGTTAGTAGGGACACCTGTAAATCAAGGCCCCACTGTACTCACATTAATACAAAGTACCAAAAGCGAGAGGTGGGGAGACAGGGTGAGGATCTCATATGGGTATCAATGAACTCAGTATTAGGATTCCCAAGAACCATTTATTCTCTTTCTTGGGAAGAATAATTTTCATTAATTACAGTAATATAACATGTTGCTCACTTACCTTTAAGAATAATTTCTGTAAAATCTAAGGTCTCTATAATTGTATTTGAATAAAAGTAAACAGAGAACTGGCTTACTCTGCAATATCAAGATATCCACAGGAAGCAGCTGCGTGTAGTGGTATCCAGCCTTCATTATCAGGTTGATTAATATTTGCTCCATTTTCTACCAGAAACTTCACCATATCGACATTGTCATCAATGCAAGCCTAAAAACACAAAAAATTACAAAAAGATTTGATTCAACACTCCTAATAACTTAATAATGCAACAGAATTCCTACTTTGCAGCCTTTATAATATAAATATTCTCTGAAAATTAGTCTGTTGCTATTTTGATTGTACTGCCATCAAACAGGCCAATGTACTAAGAATTTAAATTGTAAGAGTCCTTAATTAGATACATGTACAACAGTAGTATATGTGACTAGACAATGCCAACCCCATGGGAAAAACAAGTACATTTCATTAAAATGAAAACAATCAAAACTTTGTAACTAAGCACCAAAAATATCCTCCATAGCAATGGTTCCCAAAATGTGGTCTGCTAAGGGGGGAGACATCCTTTTAGAGAGCTGACATGGTCAAAACAATTTTTAAAATGATATTAAGATGGTATTTCCCTTTTTCACTGTGTTGACATGTGCATTTAAAGGTGCAAAAGCACTAGTGGTAAAACTGCTAGTACCTTAGCACAAATTAAGGCAGTGGCAAAAACAAACAAACAAACAAACAATCTCTAACAATCACTGTCTTTGCACTATGCCCACAATTTTAAAAAGGCTATTTTTATTTATGAATGTCCATTACAAAGCAGAGCAAATCATAAATTTTATTAAATTTTCATCCTTAAATATACATCTTTTTAATCTGTGGAACTAGACAGAAGTGTGCATATAAAGCACTTCTTATAATAATAGTCCTGACAAAAGCACTTATGAAGCTGAGATGAAAGCTGAACCTGCCCCTTTTTCCAATGTAACATTTTTTTTACTTAAATAACAAACCACCGTTAGTCTAACTTAATTTTAACTTCTAGTATTGTAAACATTAATACATACAATTCACATAAACAAAGCTCTTTCAATAATTTTTAAGTTTCTCTCTCATCGATGTTTCTCTCTCTCCCTTCCTCTCTCTCTAAATAAAAACATTTTAAAAATTATATTATATTAGAAAATAGTTTATGCTATTTGAGCAGCTTGAAATAACAGAACTATTTATAAGCTAATTGTTAATTTTTCTTGAGAAAAGCTATTAAATTATATTCTCCTATTTTGCGAAGAGGCTCCAAAGCAGTATTCTGATTTTTATCATCAATATAAAACATACTCTATTTAATAAATGCATCTAATACAAATATGATTATTGGTTTTTAAAAATGGAATATGTTAAGAAAGAAAATATGATTCTACATAATAAAAGCATAGTATGCAAATTGTCCCCTCTACCGAAGTTCTTCCAGAAGTTCTACCAGAGAGCAGGCCAGCCAGGGGAAGGAAGGGAGGCCCCGGCCAGCAGCTGGCAGCCACTAGCGACATTACCAGTGCACGAATTCCATGCACTGGGCCTCTAGTTCTTTATAAAAGGATATGGGAAAATGTTCACAATATATTAAGTTTTTATTTTTTAAAAAAATTTTAAATACATTTTTATTGATTTCAGAGAGGGAAGGGGGAGAGAGATAGAAACATCAATGATGATAGAGAGTCATTAATTGACTGCCTCCTGCCCGCCCCCCACTGGAAATCAAGCTAGCAACCCAAGCATGTGCCCTGACCGGAATCTAACCATGACCTCCTGGTTCATAGACTGACATTCAACCACTGAGCCACACTGGCTGGGCTTTTTTTTTTTTTAATTGATTTTTAGAGAGAAAAGAAGGGAGAGGGAGAGATAGAAACATGGATGAGAGAGGAACATCACTGACTGGCTGCCTCCAGCACGACCCCTACTGGGGATCTAGCCCGCAACCTGGGCATGTGCCCTGACCGGGAATTGAACCGGTGACCTCATGGTTCCTGGGTCTACACTCAAAGGCTGAGCCACACCACCCAGACACAATATATTAAGTTTTTAAAAGAGGATGCAAAACAAATTGCCTAATGAGTCCAATTTTACTAAAATTATATAAACAAAATGACTAGAAGAATATATGCTAAAGGTTAATAGTGATTATCATTGGTTGTGAAACTGAGTAATTTTTATTTTCTTCTTTAAATTTTCTATATAAAGAAACAACCAAATTGCTACTGAAAGTGTAAAATTCATTTAACTCTTTCAGAAAAAGCATTCAACAGTATCTACTAAAAAGTGTATATAAATAATAAATAAATGGTATGGACTATATGTGGGGGTAGAGATTCTATTCATGTAATAGAATTCTATGCATCAAGAAATAAAGAACATGAAACAAAAATAACTACTGCTACCGTCAACAACATGAATTATCCTCACAGACATATAGATGAGTAGAAAAAGGCAGACAAAGGATATAATATATTGTAAGTTTCGCCCTGGTGGGTGGTGGGTTCAATTTCCAGTCAGGGCACATACCTAGGTTGCAGGTTCAATCCTTAGTTGGGGCGGATATGGGAAGCAACCAATCAATGCTTTTTTTTTTCTCAGAGTCTCTCTCTCTCCCTTCCTCTCTCTAAAATCAATAAGCATATCCTTCTTGGGTGAGGATAAAAAACACATAAAAAACATACTGTAGGTTTCCAGTCAAAGCTAATCTCTGGTGGTTAAGCTCAGAATCATGGTTAAATGTATGGAAAACTGATGGGAGGGGCATGAGGAAGCTCTCTGGAAGATTGGAAATGTTCTCTACCTTTCTGATTTTTTACTTAGACATTGATAACATGTAAAAATTTATGGAATTATACACTTAAAAGCTGTGTAGTCTATTATATATAAATTATACCTCAATTTAAAAAGAAAAAATAATAGGCTGCCATTTATTGAAAGCCTACTATGTATTACCTCCAGTATAAGACATTTACCTTTTTCTAAATTGTACATGCTAAAATGTCTTTCTTTAATTTCTATCCGCTGCCTCCTGAAGCTTCACATATCAAATGGAATTACTCTTTTAATGGTTAACCTTTAAATATTATAAAAACCTTCCCCCTTAACAATTATCACATATTTTAGGCTAAATATGCCTAATTTCTTTAGCTACTCTTCATATTATATATGATAAAAACTATAGAGTACACCCCAAGGCCCTAGGAACACAGAGGATGGAAAAGGTCATATTATAATATGGGAGACTAGTCCATAAATAACAATGATCATGTAAGGGCATTAATAGCAGAGGGTAGAAAGTTCTAAAATATCACTAGTGACATAGAAAGATATTCTTTTGCCAGGCTGATGTGGCTCAGTGGTTGTGTGTCAACCTGTGAACCGGGAGGTTGTGGTTTGATTCCTGGTTGGGTACACGCCCCAGTTGTGGGCTCGATCCCCTAAGGGGGCTGTGGAGGAGGCAGGCAATCGATGATTCTCTCTCATCGATGTTTCTATCTCTCTCCCTCTCCCTTCTTCTCTCTGACATCAATTTAAAAAAACCCTATTTTTTTAAAAAAGATAGTCTTTTAACTCGAATGGTCCATACAGTCTCTTTGAAAAATATATATTTGAGGAAAGTTTTGAAGATTACATAGGAATTGTTCACTTAGAAAGTTAACTGGAAGGAACTTCAATGAGCAAATGCACTACGATTTTTAAAAGAAGCATGGAATAACCAAACAGCAAGTCATCCAGTAGTATAGAGTATCTATAAATTACAAAACAGGATAAGGCTAGGTCATAAAAGGTCTAAATATAGTGTGTGTAAAAGATTTGAATATAATGCAAAGGTGACTGGATTGGATACAAAGGTTGTATTAACCCTTTGCGGTCATATTAAATTTGGACATGGGTGTCGTACTGGTCGGAATTAATTTCCATTGAAAGAGCAGTGATACATAACATGCAAGATTATGAAGGATAAACAAGATTTATTAATTCTTTTTTGGAACTACGTCATTACTAGTAGAATCACTACAAACGTTATCACTTTCTACGTCAGAGTCAGTATTCAAGGTGCCAAAATAAAACTCTTCATCGTTACTTTCAGATTCGCAGTACACTTCTTTCGGTAACTTTCTTTTTGCCATTTTGGAGTATTATTTTGAAATATCTTAACAAGCGAGAATGCCTAATTACAGTTAAACGTAATTTGTAAAGCTTTATTTGAAATTCTGCTAAGTATCTCCTAAGCTTGTTGATTTCTTCACTCTCAAAAGGCGACTGACTGGCCACGGTGTTTTGCATGGCGAGTGTGGAATGACCGCGTTTGTTTATATTGAATTTCGATATCTCCGATTTGTCGGGAAAATGTTTTGGTTCGTGACAAGGTCGCTTAGACACTTAAGAGCTTTTGGAGAAATTATGAACTGATACATGAATGAATAGAGTTAAGATTCGTACGGTTCCTTGCTGTGGTGGCTGAGAGCAGACATAAGACCGGAACGGTAAAAAAGCTTTGGTGGCTGAGAGTAGACAAATGACCGCAAAGGGTGAAATCTGCTTTCTATTCCTACACATCAGGGAACCTGCTACATTGAGCCACTGAATTGACAGTGGCTCAATTCAGCAGTAGGGTGAAGTAGTAGAAAACATTTTAGAATTTCAAGATGATGTTTGAAAAGCTATTCAGAGTTTTTAAGCAGAGGGAGTGACATGATCAGATCAATATTTCAGAAAGAATACTGAAAGCAATATGAAGAGGGAAGAGTACTCAGACTGGATCTATATTTTAAAAAACTTAGGAGAAAATGTGCAAGATTAATTAAAGATTAAGTATGAAGAGTGAATGACAGAGAGAAGCCATTCATGGAAATAAATACCACAAATTCAAGGAGCAGTTTGAGGAAAATAAGTTGATTTTTAGCTTTGGATATGCTGAATTTATAGATATCTGTATCTCTATCCAATCACCTGTATCTAGTGGCCAATTGGATACGCAGATCTTTGAAAATAAATGTGGGATGAAAGTATCAATTTGGGGATTATCTGCGTTAAGGTAATAATTAAAACAATAGCACCTGAAATCACTCAGAGAGAATGCAGAGAAGTGACCATGGAAACATTAAGAGAAGGGTTAGATTAAATTATGACCAGTAATTTTACTTGGAAGACAAAGACATTTGTGATATTTTATTCAT